GCTTCTAGGAATTGTTGTAGTTGCAGTCCAAAAAACCTGGAGGGGTCAAGTTTGCCCATACCTGTATGTGCAGAGATTACATGGGCTTTTTGGATAAAAGTGCATAGAGGTGTGATCTAGGGCATTGTTTGTGGAAGAATTTAGTTATTTGGAAGAGTTTATAGGAGATGAAATGATTATAGAATCATAGAATCCTTGATTTAGAAGAGACCTTGTGGGTCATCCAGTCCACCCCCCTGCCAAGAAGCAGGAAAATTGCATCCAAAACACCCCCGGCAGATAGCCATCCAGCCTCCGTTTAAAGAAGGAGCCTCCACCAGTCTGGGGCAGAGAGATCCATTGCTGAACAGCTCTCAGGAAGTTCTTCCAAATGTTCAAGTGGAATCTCCTTTTCTGTTGTTTGAAGCCATTGTTCCATGTTCTAGTCTTCAGGGCAACAGAAAACAAGCTTGTTCCCTCCTCTCTATGACTTCCCCTTACATATTTATGCATGCCCATCATGTCTCCTCTCAGTCTTCTCTTCTGCAGGCTAAACATGCCCAGCTCTTTAAGCCATTGCTCATAGGGCTTGTTCTCCAGACCCTTGATCATTTTAGTAATCCTCCTCTGGACACATTCCAGCTTGTCAACATCTCCCTTCAATTGCGGTGCCTAGAATTGGACACAGTATACCAGATGTGGCCTGACCAAGGCATGATACTGTTAGCTCATGTTTAACTTGTTGTCCACGAGCACTTCAAGCTCTTTTTCACATGTACTGCTCTCATGCCAGGCATTGTCCCCCATTCTGTATCTTTGCATTTCATTTTTTCTGCCTAAGTGGAGTGCCTTGTATTTGTTTCTGTTGAACTTCATTTTGTTTATTTTGTTTATTTTATTTACAGTATTTATATTCCGCCCTTCTCACCCCACAGGGGGCTCAGGGCAGATTACAATGTACATATACATGGTACACATTCAATGCCATAGACACACAACATATATAGACAGACACACAGAGGCTATTTAACATTCCAGCTTCATGAGGGTATTCTGGCCACCAGAGGAGCTATCGCTTCACCGTCCATTTGTGACACTGATGGAGTACTTCCTCATTCTTTTTGCCTGCTTGCTGGAAATTTTTTGGCATCGTAAATTAGTTAAATTAGCCTCCCCGCATAAGCGGTACCTAAATTTCCTACTTGACAGATGCAACTGTCTTTCGGGCTGCAAAGGTCGACAGCAAGCTACACAATGGTTGGAAGCTTACTCCAACCTGGGCTGGCTTCGAACTCGACCTTTAGTCAGTAGTGATCTTAATGCAGCTGACTCCCAGCCAGCTGTGCCACAGTCCCAGTGCTTTGTTGATTCTGGCCCATCCCTCTAATCTGTTCAGATCATTTTGAATTCTGCTCCTGTCTTCTGGGGTATTCACTATCCCTTTCACTTTGGTGTTGCATGCAAACTTGATGAGCATGCCTTCTAACCCTTCATCTAAGTCATTAATAAAGATGTTGAACAGGACTGGACCCAGGACAGATTCTTCCTCCTCTTAGGCCCTTTCCACACAGCATACCTTCTAACCCTTCATTAATAAAGATGTTGAACAGGTTTCTCTGTTTGTTCTAGTCTCTCGAATGTAGTGCGACTGAGGCCCCTTCTATACAGGTGAATAAAATCCCTCATTTTCTGCTTTGAACTGGGTTATATGGCAGTGTGGACTCAGATAACCCAGTTCAAAGCAGATATTGTGGATTATCTGCCTTGATTTTTTGGGTTATATGGCTGTGTGGAAGGGCCCTGCAATATCTGAGGCTCCTTCCACACAGCTGTATAAAATCCCAGATTATCTGCTTTGAACTGGGTTATATGGCAGTGTGGACTCAGATAACCCAGTTCAAAGCAGATATTGTGGATTAGCTGCCTTGATTTTTTGGGTTATATGGCTGTGTGGAAGTGCCCTGCAATATCTGAGGCTCCTTCCACACAGCTGTATAAAATCCCAGATTATCTGCTTTGAACTAGGTTATATGGCAGTGTGAATTTGGAAAACCCAGTTCAAAGCAGCTATGGCGGGATTTTCTACCCTGATATTCTGGGTTATATGACTGTGCGGAAGGGCTCATGGTCCACAATGAGCTATATCCCAGTTCAAAGCAAATAATGTGGGATTTTATTTTATTCAGCTATGTGGAAAGGGCCTAAGAGGAGGGAGAAACTCTACTCAGCCTCCTCTCCACGGGCCCTTCCACGCAGCCATATAATCCAGAATATCAAGGCAGAAAATTCCACATTAGCTGCTTTGAACTGGAATATATGGCAGTGTGAACTCAGATATCCCAGTTCATAGCAGATATTGTGGGATTTTCAGCCTTGGTATACCAGAGCCCTTCCACACAGCCTTATATCCCAGAATATCAAGGCAGAAAATCCTACATTAGCTGCTTTGAACTGGCATATATGGCAGTGTAGCCTCAGATAACTCAATTCATAGATCTTGTGGGATTTTCTGCCTTGATATTCCAGAGCCCTTCCACACAGCCTTATATTCCAGAATATCAAGGCAGAAAATCCCACATTGGCTGCTTTGAACTGTAATATATGGCAGTGTGGACTCAGATAACCCAGTTCATAGCAGATATTGTGGGATTTTCTGCCTTGATATACCAGAGACCTTCCACACAGCTCTATATCCCAGAATACCAAGGCAGGAAATCCCACATTATCTGTGTGTGGACTCAGATAACCCAGTTCAAAGAAGATCTTGTGGGATTTTTTGCCTTGATATTCTAGGGGTCTTTCCACACAGCCCAGAATATCAAGGCAGAAAACCCCACAATATCAGCTTTGAGCTGAGTTATCTGAGTCCACACTCAGATAATGTGGGATTTCCTGTCTTGATATTCTGGAATATAGGATGGGCCTTGGGATATCAAGGCAGAAAACCACACAATATCCACTTTGAGCTGGGTTATCGGAGTCCACACTCAGATAATGTGGGATTTCCTGCCTTGATATTTTGGATATAGGACGGGCCTTGGGATATCAAGGCAGAATCTGCTTTGAGCTGGGTTATCTGAGTCCACATTCAGATAATGTGGGATTTCCTGCCTTGATATTCTGGGATAAAGGAAGGGCCTTGGAATATCAAGGCAGAAACCCCCCACAATATCTGCTTTGAGCTGGGTTATCTGAATCCACACTCAGATAATGTGGGATTTCCTGCCTTGGTATTCTGGGATAGAGGATGAGCCTTGGAATATGAAGGCAGAAAACCCCACAATATCCGCTTTGACCTGGGTTATCTGAGTCCACACTCAGATAATGTGGGATTTCCTGCCTTGGTATTTTGGGATAGAGGATGAGCCTTGGAATATGAAGGCAGAAAACCCCACAATATCCGCTTTGAGCTGGGTTATCTGAGTCCACACTCAGATAATGTGGGATTTCCTGCCTTGGTATTCTGGGATAGAGGATGAGCCTTGGAATATGAATGCAGAAAACCCCACAATATCCGCTTTGAGCTAGGTTATCTGAGTCCACACTCAGATAATGTGGGATTTCCTGCCTTGATATTTTGGATAGAGGATGGGTCTTGGAATACCAAGGCAGAAAACCCCACAATATCCGCTTTGAATTGGGTTATCTGAGTCCACACTCAGATAATGTGGGATTTCCTGCCTTGATATTTTGGATAGAGGATAGCCTTGGAATACCAAGGCAGAAAACCCCAAAATATCTGCTTTGAGCTGGGTTATCTGAGTCCACACTCAGATAATGTGGGATTTCCTGCCTTGATATTCTGGGATAGAGGATGGCCCTTGGAATATGAAGGCAGAAAACCTCACAAGATCTGCTTTGAGTTGGGTTACCTGAGCCCACACTCAGACAATGTGGGATTTCCTGCCTTGATATTCTGAGATAGAGGATAGCCTTGGAATATCAAGGCAGAAAACCCCACAATATCTGCTTTGAACTGGGTTATCTGAGTCCACACTGCCATATATTCCAGTCCAAAGCAGATAACGTGGGCTTTTTGGAAAGGGCCTAGAGCAGAGGTCCTCAAACTAAGGCCCAGGGGCCGGATACGGCCCTCCAAGGTCATTTACCCGGCCCTCACTCAGGGTCAACCTAACCCTAAAAGTACTTGAAAGCACACAACAACAACAATCCTTTGTCATCAGCTGAAAGCAGGCCCACACTTCCCATTGCAATACTAATAAGTTTATATTTGTTAGAATTGTTCTTCATTTTAATTATTGTATTGTTTTTAAATGTTTTTGCACTACAAATAAGATATGTGAAGTGTGCATACCAATTCTTTCATTGTATTGTCGAAGGCTTTCATGGCTGGCATCACTAGGTTCTTGTGGGCTTTTTCGGGCTATAGGGCCATGTTCTAGAGGCATTTTTTCCTGACGTTTCGCCTGCATCTATGGCAAGCATCCTCACAGGTAGTGAGGTCTGTTGGAATTAGGACAATGGCTTTATATATCTGTGGAATGGCTGGGGTGGGGCACAGAGTTCTTCCCTGCTGAAGCTAGGTGTGAATGTTTCAGCTGACCACCTTCATTAGCATTTGAAGGCCTGGCTGAGCCTGGGAAAATGTTTTGTTGAGAGGTGTTAAGGTTGTTTCCTCTCTACTGTTTTGCTTTTCTTTCATTGTTTTTCAAATTATCTGGCCCTCCAACAGTTTGAGGGACTGTGACCTGGCCCTGTGCTTTAATAGTTTGAGGACCCCTGGCCTAGAGTATAGAGCTGTGTGGAAAGGCCCCATGATAGAGCAAGGCAGCGCTCCCACTGTCACCCTCCTCCTCCCCCTCCCGCTCTATTCAATGAAGACGGGCGATACCAAGAAGAAAGAAAAAGGAGGCGTTCCCCAGGAGCGAGTGGAACATTCCAAACGGTTAAAATGACGTCCGCGTTGGGGGAGGAGCTTCCCCTTTCCGATAAGCCACGCCTTCTCTTTTTCCTTTGAATTGGAGTAGGAGGAGGAGGAGAGGGACGTGAGGCGGTGACGTCAGCGCGGCTGTACGTCGGGGGCGGGGCCCGGGTTGCCTGCCGCAGTAGCAGCAGCTTGACTCTCTGAGCCTCAGCAGCGGCAGCGGCGGCGGCTTAGCTCGAGTTCCCAGCCTGCCTCGCGGCTCCATTTGAGCCCCATCTTGAGTGAGGGGAGCGAGCAGTTTGAATTTGGAGAAAGAGAGAGAAGGAAGGAGAGAAGGAAGGAAGGAGAGGCTGCGAGGGGAGGGGAGAGGAGGCGAGGCGCGCCTGCCTGAGGGGCCCCTCTCTCTCTCTCTCTCTCTGTCTCTCTCTCTCTGTGCGCGTGAGGAAGATGCGCGCGGGGGAAGCTCTCCGGCGCGAGGCGGCTTGAGGCCTGGGAGGGAGTTGGGGGCCTCGACGGCGGCGAGGAAACTCCACACAGAAGAGGGGAGGGAGAGGAGGCCTGCCTGGCTGCTTCCCTTCCTTCCAGCCCGCTTTCCTTCCTTGAGGGGAGGAAGAGGAGGAGCCCAGCCGCCGCCCCCCGCCTCCCTCGCGGCCTTGCCTTCCCCTCCGCACCGCCAGGCCTCGGGCCCGCCTGCTGAGGCCGGAGGAATGCGCGGCAACGCCGTAGACAGAACGTGATCCGCGACTCCGGCCTTCTCCCTTCCTCCTTTTCCTCCGTCTCCGTCTCCTCCCTCCCTTCTCTCCCCTCCTTCTCTCCCTCGGCACCATGTCCAAGATGCCGGCCAAGAAGAAGAGCTGCTTCCAGATCACCAGCGTGACCACGGCCCAGGTGGCCAGCAGCATCACGGAGGACACGGAGAGCCTGGACGACCCGGACGAGTCGCGCACCGAGGACGTCTCCTCCGAGATCTTCGACGTCTCCCGCGCCACCGACTACGGRCACGAGGACGACGCCGCCTGCCAGCGCAGCTCCTCCGAGGAGACCCTCAACAACGTCGGCGCTGAGGCTGCTGCTGCTGAGACTCCCGGGACGGTGTCGCCCAACTTGGTGCTGGACGGGCAACTGGCGATGGCGATGGTGGGAGGGATGCCAGGTCCTTCTCCCTCCAACGGAGGAGGCGCCGTGCCGAGGATTGGCCCCCCGGGAAGCGGCGGGAACGCGCAGGCGGGGTCTGCTTCTGCTTCTTCCTCTTCCTCGGCTGCCTGCAGCTCTCGCTTCCGGGTGATCAAGCTGGACCACGGCTCCGGGGAGCCCTACCGGCGTGGCCGATGGACGTGCATGGAGTACTACGACCGGGACTCGGATGGGACTTCCGTCTTGGCCCGGACCGGGGATTGCATCCGCCACAACAACAACAGTACTTTCGAGCAGGCCGCCCAAGACCGGGACAGTGGCCTGGGCGCCACCGGAGGCTCACTGGCGGCCTCGGGGGTGGCGGCGGACTCCCTGCCTGACAACTCCTTGTCACCGCTTCTCCAGCCGGAGAAGATAGGCCAGCTCCCTCCACAGCAGCAGCAGCCAGGTTTTGTCATAGGTGGGGCCGTGCCTCACGGTGCTGCCCCACTGCCACCGGCCTATTCGGGGGGCCCTGCAGTCAGCCAGCAAGTGATGGGGCCACCTATGCTGCAGGGTCAGGCACAAAACAACGGGAAAGCCCTGCCGCCCTCGAATGTAGCCGGTTTGCCCATGCCACCCGTGGCGCACCAAGCGAATGTCCCCATGGCCCAGACTCAGCAGTTTGCTTATCCCCAGCCACAGATCCCGCCGGCGCACTTGGTTCCCACGCAGGCGCCCAACCAGCCGGAATACATCCAGCACATGACGGTCATGCCGCCTCAAGGAGCCGCTCCGGGCCCTGTCCCGAGCGCCGGGGCTTCCGGTCTTCCGACAGCAGCGCCGGTCGTGGGTCAGAACGTGATGGGAGTTGCTTCCCAAGCGGGCGAAACCGTGGGACAGGGATCTGGGCTGATGCAGAGCGGCTTGACAACTCCGATGCAGGCTGTCATTCCTCAGCCAGGAGGTGTGGTGCAGCAAGGCATGGGCCACGCAGGAGTTGTGCAACAGAAATCCATGACTCAGCAGCAAATGGGTGGAAGCAACCAAGTGGCTGGTGCTCCTCACACGGTCGTCTCCGGAGTCCAGAATGTGCCTGCAGCTGTACCTGGTCCTAGTGTGCCTAGCGTGTGTACAACTTCTGTTACTATGCCAAATGCCTCTGTTACTTTAGTCCAGTCCCAGCTGACCAGCCATACATCTGTCAGTCGGAGCTCCAGTGTTGTCCAGCAGCATGCCGGCCTTCCCCTCATGCAAGGCGCAACCAACGTACCTGCAAACCTGCCACAATCTAACATCGGACAGTTTCAGACTCAACCTTTAGGCCAGATTGATGATACTAGAAGAAAATCTGAACCCCTACCTCAACCACCACTTTCTCTTGTTGCGGAAAATAAACTTCTCATGAAGCCACCTATTCCAGACACTTTAACAAACCCTCTTAATTTACCAGCAACTACTCCTATGAACAGTCTTGCAAGCTCTGTCTTTGGCATATCTATTCCTGTTGATGGAGATGAAGACAGGTATTTATCTTTTATGCATTTTATACAGGTACCTGGTTGTAAAACAGGCATGGGCAAACTTCAGCCCTCCGGGTGTTTTGGACTTCAACTCACAAAATTCCTAACAGCTTAAGCAGCTGAGTGGAAAAAGGAAGGGGCCTGAGGCTGTTAGGCATTGTGGGAATTGAAGTCCAAAACACCTGGAGGGCTGAAGTTTGCTCATGCCTGTTGTAAAAACATTTTCCCACCATTCAGTGAGATATATATATATCTTAGTCACCTCTGGAGGTTTTTCTTTATAATAGGTGACAAGAGGAATGAATTTTTAAAATGAGGTGTCAAACTTCGTAGCAACAATAGGTGTCAAACTTCAAAATGGAGAGAAAGTAAGGAAATTAAACTATGGATATTTAAAAATCATATCTGTATCTGTAAATAACAGTTACTAGAGCACAACAAATACATTTGGTACATCAAAGTAAGTTTATCTTTTTCCATTTAAAGCACCAAGTGTATATGTAGTCCTCATTAAATTTAGCTTAGTGAACTGGATAATATGAAGCCTGTTCCTCACTGGACTACTGTTAGTTTATTTATGTAAACATACATATAACACTGGGTTGCTGTGAGTTTTACAGGCTGTATGTAAACATCATTAGCTAACACCTCCCAACAAATTATTCCCCCAGGCAGGAGCCAGACAGGCTTTGAAACTGCAAGGCCATTACATGCTAATCAAGGTAGCCAGTTGCAACAGTCACACCCACCTCAAGCAGACAAGAGTTCTTTCTCCCACCCTAGACCTTCTACAGATATATAAACCTCCCTTGTCTAGTTTCTAATATACCTCACAACCTCTGAGGATGCCTGCCATAGATGTGAGCGAAACGTCAGGAGAGAATGCTTCTGGAACATGGCCATACAGCTTGAAAATCTCAAAGCAACCCAGTGACTCCGGCCATGAAAGCCTTCAACAACAGATACATACAACAACTATAGTAATGTAATTAAAAGTAAAAAAGATGTTGAGGAAATACATGTCATTTAGTGAGATCTATAACTTTCTTCCTGTGGCACTTTGGTGTTTAAATATTGCAAAGGCTTGAAATTGAACATGCCTCATAGGGATTTACAACTACTTGCTTATAAACAGACCCATTTCTTTATCATTGTTAGAGGTTTAAAAAAATCTTGAGAGGTCTCAGGGATTAATAATGCTGTTGTTAGAATGGCATGTTCAATTGAGTTCAGTGGGACTTTTATTCCTGGTGAAGAAATGCTTAGGATTGAGTTCTAGCGTGTGAAGAGTTTAAAAAAATGTACATATTATACCTATCATTGTGTAAAGTAAGTTAAACGGGACTGTTCCTATCTTTAAAGGGAAGGTTTTGTGGATTCAAAAAATCTTTATGCAGCCTTCAATTTGCTTCTCTGGAGAAAGTTCCAAATTTGGAAATGAAGTGCTTTCACATCCTCTATATCTTCGAAAGAATTATAAAAACAAAATTCCCTAGGAAACCTGAACTGTAATGAAATAATTTTTAAGGAAAAGGAGAGAATCAGAAATGTAGAACTAAAGAAAAAGGGGCAAGACTTGCATGTTTTTAAACCTGGGACTTGTCCTCTTACTAAACTTCTTTGGAGTGAGAGGCAGTCCCTCTGGCCTATTTCTATGCTGTTGGTAAACGTAGAGGCAGAGAAGTGGAAATAAGTTGTCATTGGAGATTCCAGTCCTATAATCAACCTGGAAGTAGGTTCCAGTAGCTCAAGAAGACTTAAAACTAGAAACTTCCCCTAAAAGGTACTTATTTCCTTAAAGCCAACTTTGAAATGTGGCTTGAAATATCATTTGTCACTTGTTGCATGTTGAGGTGTGAGTATCAAATAATAATTCTCCATTTGGGGGAATTAGAGGTGACCTCCTGTCAACAAATTGCTGAATACAAAACAGAAAATGCTTTGTGTCTATAATTGATGCTACAGCATCAGGAACTGAGTATTGCATTAAACTCAGCATTGCTAATTGTAGTGAAGATAAAATACTCAGTAGTGCCATACATTTTACTTTTTCTTATTTATTATGTAGCCTTAGTCCAGCTTCTAGAGAAAGAGAGGCAGGTTGGTAGCAGATTTCATGTTAATATTGACAGGTTTGTTTTTAAAGTAGAAGTGCTAAATGTTGCTGGATCTGATATATTAATATGTAACATGTACAGCACAGTCCTAAGCATCTTTACTTAGAAATAAATCCCACTGAGTTTATACAGTGTAGTAAGTGTGCTTAACACTGCAGCCCTAATTCTTCAGTTGGTGGTGCATGTTACAGAACTGTGTGCAAAATACGGTCATTATAATATCTAAGAAGATGTAAGTATAGTACTGTGTGCTTGAAGCAAAGTTGCCTTTTTTGAATTGATTTCTTCTCCCTTTTGGATATTGTTTTAGTGAATATCAATTCCTTGGGTTGTAAAATGTGGGTTCTTTTAAAATGATGAAGCCTGTCCTGTGTATTGTTGTATACAATGTGTGTGTGTGTGTGTGTGTGCATCACTTCAGAAATCACTGCATGTGTAATGATTGTTATACTAGAGGCCTCTTCCCAGAAGTGACAGTATCCTTGGAGTATGTTCACATGTACATCCTATATGGACATTCCCTTCTTTCTTTCTTCCTCCTTCCATCTATTTTATAGTGGGAGAGATCTTCCATAGGCTTATTTAATCTCTTTGCCTAACCCAAAAAAGCAAGATAAAATGCACATAATAATGTAATAACAAATCAAGTGGTGAAGTATGCTTGGTTTTAAAATTACTACTACCATAGTATCGTTAGCAAGGTGGAACTGTTTGATTTTTTAATGTTCTTCTTGAGATTCAACTGGCATAGGGGTGTAGGAGAAACTTGTTACCTTGGTGAAAAGCAGCTCTTACCCAGCACTGTTTACAGATAATGAATTTACTGTAATTTCAGTTGACCTATACATAGTATAGAACATGGGGTAAGCAACTTGTGGTTTTCCTCATGTGGCTGGACGGCAGAACTGATTGGCTATTTCTATTCTAACAAGAGTGGGAGGCCACAAGTTGCTCCTATCTAGAATCAAAGTTGCTGAGTGGTACTTCTTTATTGATTATTCAATAGAGAAATTTATATTAGTGGAAGCACATATTTTACTTTTATCTACCTCAGTTAATACTCTTATCTAAATCTGAATCTAACATTTTAGAACATATGCTTTCCTTGGCCCCAGCAATAAAATCTAAACTGATTTGGTATGAATAGCAGGGAAATATAAAATAAGAAATATATTTTGTTTCTAAGGTTGATATGAAGCAATCCAAGGCTTCAAAGCACACCATACCTCTTATACTTTAATAACAATTATTGTCTTCTGCAGTATTTGTTTAGCCAATCATCTGTCATGATTTTAAAAGCTACACAGGAAGATGCTTTGGTGCTGTCCAACTGTTTTATCTCCAAACTTTTGTTTGGCTTTTTCTTCATGCAGAATTTGTAGAATCAGTTATCCACTGTACTTTTGGAAACAATGCTGCACAGCAAGTATAACCACTATCATAATGGTGTAATATATCATTTACACTACAGTTGGAATTTATTTTTATTTTAATAAAATACATTTAGAATGGCACAACATGTTTAGATTTTTTTTCACAATTGAAAATTGGCATAAAATAAACTGCTAAAATTGAAATCCCAGATCTTTTAATCCTATTAAATCCAAACATCCGCCAGGCTTCTAAAAACATAACTAGCCGATTAGTATATTCTTGGCTCTCAAAAAATATGTTGCCACTTTTGAAAGAATACATCACTAGGAAAGCTTGTTTAAACCTCCTACGTGTTTGGCAGATACTTGGTGCAATTTTTACCAGGCTGGTTAGAAAGGCATAGATAGCTGACCATGAACTGTGCCAGCTATAGTTCAGGACTCCAATGAATAGCTGCAATTGTGAACTCTAAGCAGCAGCCGCTAGATTGCTAAAAACCAGATTGTAGGGATTTCTTCATAGAGTATCTCTCTGTTCAGTTAAAAGGCTTATTTGTATAGTGTCCTAATTGTTGCTGATAAAGTATTATAAATGGTAAAACTGAACTCTTGAAGCCTCTTTCATAATGGAACAAAAATCCTGCTTTGGCTTTGACGTTGATAAAGTTCTAGGCAGTATATGCATTGTTTAAAGGAAAAAATAGGCACATTGAAAACAGTCACTACGTAATTCCTGGTGCTAATGGATATTATATTTTTTTTCAGGTTGATCATGATTAAAATAGGCATCATGTGTTCAGCATCTAGCACCTGTGCTTTGCTTTGTTGAAGTAACTTATGAATGCAGTTCAGAATAAAAAAGCAAGTGGTATGTTTAGACTCAGTCTGTCCCCATGGAGTTCAAAGATGTCCAGTCTCATTTTTCCTGAATGAGAGAAAAACAATTTTTAAATCTATTACTTGAATCCAGTAGGGAATTTGCTCACTCGGTATTAATCTTGGTACTTCCATGAAACCATATGACCAGTATAGGCTTGAAGAGGTTTAATATTAAATGGAATATTCTGGGATTAGATGTTGACCTATGTTTGCTGAGATAGTTGTTTTCAAGGTATATTGAAAGTAAACTGATGTAAAATATACATTATAGTTCTTAATATATGGATGTCATAGGGATATTTTTTTCAAGAGTTCCTACTGTGGTAGATTTGCAGTAGAACAAATAGTATTGGAGGTGACAAAATTCTGTTAGTATTACGCTTTTTTTTCCTAAAGTTGTGATTGACAGACAGAAATGTAATGTTCAGGTTATTGGAATAACGTATTCTGGAGCAGATCAGATGCATATGTTGAACCTTTTCTTTTTAGTAATATTTAATAATATCCAGTACCATGCTACAAGTACATAGCTCTGTATTCCAGTCCTTAGTGATAATTAGGCAGCAGTTAAGACATTTCAAAAGACCCCAGCATGGTATAATGGTTTGATGATTAGACTACAGTTCTGGAGACC